GTCTGGGTACAAAGGTGCACCTAATCCAGGCTATGGTCTTCTCAATTATATGTTATGCTTCAGAGAATTGGACAGTGACTAAGGATGACAGATGAAGAATAGATGCCTTCAAGTTGTGGAGCTGGAGAGAAGTCTTGAACATACCATGGACTGCCAAGAAAACAAATAGGTCTGTCTTGGTGAGGGTAAAACCAGGTCTTTCCTTGCAGGCTAGGATTTTGAAGCTCCGCCTCACTTACTTTGGGTATGTGGCCAGGAGAGATTGGTCCTTGGAGAAGGCTATCATGCTCGGAAGGGTGGATGGACAACACAGGAGAGGGAGACCCGGATGAAATGGATTGATACAGAAATTGGGGCGAAGGAGGTTTGTGTGCTGGAGTTAGTGAGACTGGCTCAGGACAGGGAAGGGTTCAGAGCTGCTGTACATGGAGTTGCTATATATCACAGGTGACTCAATGGCACATAAAAACAATAACATACTATGACAGGTTTGGAAGCAGGAGTGGCATCCACTTCCTAAATAACATGCCTCAGGAAACTCTATGAACTTTGATAAATGTTGATAGTTGTAGAGGGGCTTCAGGCCTTTTGTTCATAGGGTCACCATGAGTCATGCTTGACTTGAAGGTGATAAACAACAACATATGGATCACATGTCAACATCAATAAAACAATAATCCTTGCCACTGGACTAATAGGCAACATTATGATATATGAAGAAAAATTTAAATTGTCAATTTTTATTTTCTTATACTTGGATCCACAATTAACACCCATAGTTGTTGTTGTTAGGTGCCATCCAGTCCAGTATGATTCAGAGAGACCCTGTGAACATCTGACCTGAACCCTGCCCTATCCTGGGCTATCCTCATCATCTCTGACACACTTGAGCCCATTGCTGAAGTCACTGTGTCAATCTACTTCGTTGGAGGTTTTCCTCTCCTTTCTGACCCTCTATCTTTCCAAGCAGTATGTCCCTTTCCAAAGAACAGCCAAGACTAGTTACATGTCCAAAGTATGAGAGACAAAGCTTCACCATCTTTGCCTCCAAGGAACACTCTTTCCAAAACATATCTGTTTGTTTTGGCAGTTCATGGGATATTCAGTACTATTCTCCAACACCCAGTTCAAAGGCCTCGATTCTCCTGTCATCCTTATTAATTGTCCAGCTCTCTGATGCATAGCAGGTAATTGAGAAGGTCATGGCCTGAATCAAGCGCACTTTAAGGTTACTTAAAGTACTGCCTGTTGTTTGGCTGAAAGTTGAACTATGAGGATATATTTTGTTCCAGGTTCACTGGGTGATGAAGGACTATAGTCTCAATGGTTCTACCAGTCTCTATAAAAATATAGAATACTTTATGGCCCATGTCCGTCTTCTCTGTATCATTCCAATTTCAGCCTATATGCTGCTGAAAGGAACACAGATTCAAAGTACATTAGTTAAATTAATCTGTTTACTCATTACTGTCCCATTTTAAAGACAAGGAAACTAAGAGCAGTTAAGCAGCTTTCCTGAAGTTACAGAGCCCAAGTAGTAGATCCGGTACTAAGACTTTCCTTATCTCAGACTCCTCAGCCACTCTGACTCCATATAAAATGTATAAAAACAAGACTGATCTTTTGTTTTGAGTGTCATAGGTGAGAGGGTACAATGGAGGCTCAGTTTTGAAAACCACTGGTTTAATCTAATGACACGCCTTGCCTCCATGATGTGGGTAAGTCACACAGTGGTAAGAGATGGGGCCAAAACCAAAACCCCAGCAGCCGCAACTCTGGGACTTCAAGGAAAAAACAGACATTAACCTTGAACCTAATGAGCAGGTGAGGTTTTCACACAGATTATCTTCTGTACACTTCACAACTACCCCATTAAATCGGTATTTGTATTCTCAAGACAAAGACAAATAAGCTTAGAAATTCCCATTAAGTCATTTGCCCCAATGCCACTAAGTGACCACCAAGAATCAAGCCCAAGTCCCTTGAGGGCAAAACTAGGTGCTTCCACAGGAGTATACTTGTCCTTTCTTCAGTACTCTAAAATGTATCCCTCTTGCTGCTGTGTCAACTCTTCTCTTTTGATAAATCCAACATTATCTTCCCTGATCTTGTCTCTTTAGAGTGGCTTTGGGGCCACTCATCTCCAGACTTCTGGTCTCATGATCTACATACAAACATAAAATCAAGTGAATCATTTAACTGAGACACTTATTAACAAGGTTGGCATTCTGGGGGCTTGTGACTGGCATGTTTTAGATCCTTGCAACTCAAATTTTTATCTTAACCAGCAACAACCCCTTGGAGCTTGTTAGAAACACAGATACTACAAAGCTGCTGAATTAGAATCTGCTTTTTAAGAATCCCCGGTGATTAATTTGCACATTAAAGCTGGCAGAGCACTAAGTTAGGCCAGAATCCCAGGGGAAGACTACTTAGCCCACCCCTGTAACTGACTCTCTGTGACTCTTGGCTTGGTTGAGAGGGGCAGCTGCGAGTTTTGTTGATGATGCTATTGTAAGAAAAAACTAGGATATTAAATTGCAACCAAGGCCTGGGAGATTAATGCAACAAAGGGAAGACTGACTGTTTTATTTGCAAGCAGCATCTGCATGGTGGGCAGAATGACAAGCCCAAGAGATTTCTTGCAAGAGGTTAGAAGTCTTAAAAAAAAAGACTTTAGAAGTCTTATTGCCACCTTTACCTCCAAATTGGCTATCATGATGCAGCAAAGTAGAGAAATGGGTAGGAGTACTGATAAATTGGAAAATAGTTTTAAAATATTTGTTTGCACTAAAACTGGCCTGGACACATAAAGGAAATATGTTGTGACACAGGGATATGCAATTGAAACATCTTTAAGGCCTTGTGACAAGATTGTTTCCTAACAACAATAACAACAAAGCAAAGCATTCGCCTGACAAAATCTGGACTATTACACTGACTGCATTTCAAATTGGAATGTATTGTAGAATAAACACTGACTGGAATCTAGCTGCTCTGTGGCAACAAGTTTGGATTTGCTATTGAAACAAATCGAAAAGTCTGTGGCTGAGGGTGGTAAAGCTCCTTTATTGCAACAGGACCTTCTAGAATACCACAGTGTGTCAGCAACCTGAAGAGGCTATGGACAAGGCCAGAAAGATTCCTATCACAAGAGGGAATTATACTGGGAGGAAAGATTATGAACTGCATTGCCACAGACAGCAGGGCAGCCAGGCATTATGCAGGACTACATGGAAGCAAATGCAGCTTCCAATAACAATAAGCACCCAGCAGATGTTTCAACAACACGCTGGCAGGCCGGTAATATAATCTTTTCTGACAGTTCAGGAAACTGAGGTTCAGGAAAGTTACTGGGGGTCCCCAAAGTTCTCTTGATTGTGAACAACAGGGTGAGACAGATTTCCACCTTTCAGCTATCTATTGCACTTCCTTAGAAAGAGACTTTGAGTGTTTTGAAATAGGATCCAGGAACTTGCAGAAAGAAAAAGATGCACAGTTTACCTATTCAAACCCATAGTGTTGCATATCAGGATTAGATCCCATTATCTTCTAAGAAAGCATTAAAAAAAAAAACACCAGAGACAACAAAACCCTCAAACTCATTGCAGTAGTCTTAGAACTGACCCTCCAGTGGATTTTCAGAGGCTGTAAACTGCACAGGAGGAGACGTACCACGATCTCCCTGAGAGCCCAGGTGTCTAAAATTTGAACAAAGCCAAGACTAATAAAGACAGTGACAAATAAAAGATGTAATTGATAAATATTCTTGTCCAGCTTGTTTGGGTTCTATCAATTCTTGGTATATAACCCAGGTTAAAATTTAATTTCTCAGAGTTTTATTTTATTCATTTACAATGCAGATAAAAATCACCACCTTTGTGATGCCTTTCCAGATTCCCGCACACCCCTAGCCCATCCAGAGAGGTAGTGCTTTGCTCCTCCCACCTTCATGAGTTAATGAAAATTGGCTTTGTACAGTTTTCTCCCTACTAGAACAGAGCTTATCTTTACGGGTTTCAGTAGTCACAGAGCACAGCTGTATGCCAGGCAGTAGCATAGGGAACAAGGGTATAATTAATGCATCTGGAAAGTGGCCACCAAACTCGAGCCTTTCCTTTCTAACAAAGGCCTGAACTGGGAGGAGAACCTCGACGTCTCCCCAACCACCCCAAAGCAGAGGCCAGGACTGGACCTCTGAATGCCGAACGGCGCGGTGCCCACTTCTTGCCCCGGGCACCTAGCATGCAACGTCAAGCAACGTGGGTGACGAAAAAATATTCGTGTATTGAGATGGAGCAGAAAGAGGGCAAGGAGAATGTCCACACTTCAGGGCACTCGGGCAGCGGTTGTGGGCGCCCTGCGGAGCCGGGGGAGGGGCGAGGGCCGCACCGTCCAGCCGGACGCCAGCTCCTCCCGGGCGGGCGAGTACCCACCGACTGTGGGCACACAAAGCCTGCTCGACGTGCTCGGCGTTCGATTCCTCGTGCCTGTCTCACCGCCCGCCGCTAGGTGGCTCCAGGTTGGGCTGCCGGCTGAGGCAGGCACTGCGCGTCAAGAAGCTGCACACATCGAACCGCCGCGGGAGGGAGCCCGAAGGCGGGGGACAGAGGAGTAGGAGTGGGAAAGGGAGGAGGGAAGAGGAGAAGGAGTGGGGACCGGGCGGGGGGGTGGAGGAAGAGGCCTCGCGCTGAGGAGGGAGCAATTGAATTTCAAACACAAACAACTGCAC